AAAAAAAAAAAAAAAAAAGATAAATTGGTGGATGAATGTGGGCCACATAGATGGACTGTTACATAAAGGACAATATAGCAAACTGTTAATGGTAGGCTCCAAATCATGAATATATACGGATGTTTAATATAAAATTCTTTCAACTTTTTTATGTTTCAAATTTTTTTAAATAAAATGTTAGGGAAAACCCTAAACTTTAGACCCAGCTCTATTATTTAAAAGGCCCTTAATCTCTCTATAATAGAAATCAAATAATCTGCATTGTCTATTTTAAATGTTGTAAGGACCAAGTAATATAATTTGTAGGAGCGTAATTTAAAAATTATACCATTCATAAAAGTGATAAAATAGTGCAAGTATTTCTTCTGTAGGTGATTTCAGAAGCTGTTCTTAGTAAAGTTTTGTGTTTTGTGAGTTTTTGCTTAGTGAAACAATCAGAGAAGGAAGAGTTTGGATCAATATGAGGAGAGGAAGAGCATGTTCTACCTGTCTCCCTTAATGAGAGAAAAAAAAACCTCCCACACAGCTATCAGCTCTCCTACAGGTAGACAGGAGGGTCTAGTTCTCTTCGAAAGCCTTTGTTGACATGTATATAAAGAAAAGACAAAAGGAGAAGGTTAAAAATAAGCATGTAAGTCAAATGTCTGTCTTTTTCAGGAAGCAGTAGGGGACACATTAGAAGAACTGTGGATCTCTTACAATTTTATTGAGAAGTTGAAAGGGATCCATGTAATGAAGAAATTGAAGATTCTTTACATGTCTAATAACCTGGTAAAAGACTGGGGTAAGCTGAGAATGGCTCCTTGCTAACCTTCTACTTCTGTTCATAGAAAATAGTTCAACACAAAAAAAGATGCAAAATGGAAACCCGTATTTCAACACAGAGAGAAAATGAGAACATTATTTCTAAGCTCAGAAAGAAACAGCTATAAGAGTTCATTTAAATGCTTAAAATTTATATTTAAATATTTACTTAGAATGAATATAATTAGATAGATTCTGGTCCAATTAATCATGAAAAACATTAAGCTTACTATCCAAAAGCTAAAGGAATCTGTTTAAATTTAAAAATTCATAGGTAGAAGACATTTGATACCAATATTGCTTTTTTTTTTATTGTACATTATTCATTCAACTATAAGGTGTGAATTCTGCCAGACTTTTGAGGTACATATTTGAATAGGACACTATCCCTGCCCGCAAGGAGTTCATAGCTTATTGGGGAAAAATCAGTTTATAGCTAATAATTATAAAATTGTGTGATAAATTCTGTAATAGAGATTTTAATGAATTGCTTTAAAAATTCAAAGATGGAGGCATGGATAGAGACAAAGGCAATTTAGGCACAGCATAGAAAAGACCTGTCACTGGAAATTGATTTGGTTTTTTTTTTTTTTTTAGAGACAGAATCTCACTCTGTCACCCTTGAGTGCCATGGCATCACACCTCCAGCTCTTGGGCTTAGGTGATTCTCTTGCCTCAGCCTCCCAAGTAGCTGGGACTACAGGCACCTGCCACAATGCCTGGCTATTTTTTGTTGCAGTTTGGCCGGAGCAGCTGGGTTTGAACCCACCACCCTCGGTATATGGGGCTGGCACCCTCCCCTCAGGCGCCAACCTTGATTTGGTATTTTTTGTTTGTTTGTTTTTGAGACAGTCTCACTCTGTTGCCCTGGGTAGAATGCCAAGACATCATAGCTCACTGCAACCTCAAACTCTTGAGCTCAAGCAATCCTCCTGCCTCAGCCTCCCAAGTAACTGGGACTACAGGCACCTGCTGCAACACTTGCCTAATTTTTCATGCCGCCTACTCTTAGGCTGGTCTCAAACTCCTGAGCTCAGGCAATCCACCGTTCTTGGCCTCTCAGAGTGCTAGGATTGCAGGTGTGAGCCACTGCACCCTGCCTGTTTGTTTTTGAGATGGGGTCTCACTTGGTTGCCCAGGCGGGAGTGTGCAGTAGCCTGGACATAGATCACTGTTGCCTCAGACTCCTGGTCTTAAGAGATCCTTCTGCAGCTCAGTGCCCATAGCTCATTGAATAGGGCGCTGGCCACATACACTGAAGCTGGCAGGTTCAAACCCGGCCAGGGCCTGCTAAAACAACAATGGCAACTGCAACCAAAAAATAGCTGGGTGTTGTGGCAGGCACCTGTAGTCCCAGCTACTTGAGAGGCTGAGGCAAGAAAATCACTTAAGCCCAAGAGTTTGAGGTTGCTATAAGCTGTGATACCACGCCACTCTACCGAGGGCGACCTAGTAAGACTCTGTCTCAAAAAAGAGATCCTCCTACCTCAATCTTTTGAGTAGCTAGGACTATACAGATGTGTCACCATGGCCAAGTAATTTTTTAATTTTTTTCTAAAGATGGGATATTGCTATGTTCCCAAGCTGGTCTCAAAACTCTTGGCCTGAAGCAATCCCCCTGCCTTGGCCTCCTAAAGTGCTGAAATTGCTGGCAGGAGCCACCATGCCTAGCCAATTTGTTCTTTTTGACTCCAAAACTCCTCTTCTTATCCCATCCTTAGGCTAGCATTAAAGGTAGAAGAAGTATATCCTCTTCTCCCGTCAATCCTATAATGTCTTCTGAAAATAGCTTCATATGTTACATGTTTCCTAACTTTAAAATCTTAACTAATTATTCTGACTGGTCACAAACTGAGGGTTAGTAATGTTGAAATTTGATTCCAAAAATTATAACAGTAAAACTTGCTGTTTCAATATGGAAAATGTTCTTTGTACTTGTAGCTGAATTTGTAAAGCTGGCAGAACTGCCATGCCTGGAAGACCTGGTATTTGTAGGCAATCCCTTGGAAGAGAAACATTCTGCTGAGAACAACTGGATTGACGAGGCAACTAAGAGAGTACCCAAACTGAAAAAGTTGGATGGTGAGTGAATCTCAACTGGCTTGGAAATGTTTTCTTTTCTTTTCTTTTTTTTTTTTTTTTTGAGACAGAGTTTCACTTATTAACCCTTGGTAGAGTGCTGTGGTGTCATAGCTCACAGCAATCTCCAACTCCTTGGGCTTTAGGTGATTCTCTTGTCTCAGCCTCCTTAGTAGCTGGGACTACAGGCACCCATCACAATGCCCAGCTATTTTTTTTGTTGCAGTTTGGCTGGGGCTGGGGTTGAACCTGCCACCCTCAGTATATGGGGCCAGCACCTTACCCACTGAGCCACAGGGGCTGCCCTGCTTGGAAATGTTTTCAATGTATAAAAATTAAACATGTGGCATAGAATCATGAAGAGGAAAAGAACTGATGAAAAGGATAGGTTATTTCTAATCTTCAAGGCCATTTCTGTCCATATAAAATTTAATGATCTAGGTTTGGGCCAGGGTAATATAAAAAACTCCTAGGATATTTAGACTGATACAAAACCATCTCTAGACCAAAAGGTTATAAGAAAGCTAGGCCTTATAAATATATATGGGCTGGTCACAGTGGTGTATGCATATAGTCTCAGCTCCTTGGGATGCTGAAGTATGAGGATCACTTGGGTCTAGGAGTTTGGGTCCAGCCTGCATACATGGTGAGATTCTCTCTCTTAAAAAAAAAAAAAAAAGATAGATATATATATATAT